TTCCTTCACTACTATCAATCTCTTAGTGAGGAGTAACGAAAGAGGCTTGGTTGAACAATTACTGGAACCCGCAAAGCATCTTTGTTTGTAAGGATTTTTATAAATTTTGGAATCCAGTATATATAGGGTAGTTCAAAGTCATTTTGGCTCTGTGGAATATTAAAAATATTTAAAAATGACATATGGTTTTGAAGAATTTCTTCCTTACAAAGGGAAGTATGAGTATAAGTAGGATTACCATAAGTAGAATTAAATCCAAGTTCTTCTAAAATACAATTTATGGAATGAGCCTTACAAACGAAGACAATATTGTATCTGCTTTGTCGGTGGGGACCAGTACGTACTGATCATATTACTTCTGGATTATTGAACAAGGAAAGATAGATTGTTTTCATATTGCCCCTCAGTCTTTTAATACGCGACTTTAACATGGATCTGATACATTTAATATATTCTGACATATATCAATATTCTTTTTATATATATATATATATATATAATTTTTAACAGAATCCATAATATTTATGAAATTCCGAGGCCAGTTGAAGGATCTGGGTTATGGAAATAGTTCTGAGTAAATTTAATTTCATTCAATGGTTATTTCGGTTTGAACATCTTTGAAAACTATCACAGGTTGTTAGAAAATGCGTGCATTTACGTTTCGACTTATTATTCATCATCATTTATTTCCTTCCGCTTTCACTGAAAGTGGGGGATATTAATTTCTGTCTGTCTGTCTGCCCTCTATGGACCTGCCTGTCCTTCTTAAAGTGCCCCTATTAGATTCGCACATATACTCTTTTTTCCTTAAGCGGGGGACACAGATTCTCTGAATTAGCTTGTTCTCATTAATATGCTTTAGGGAAGTGTTTTTCTATATTTTATTGAGTAATATATGAGAATTAAGCGATCCAATATGTTTTTCTTCTATTTCCTCTTTTTTAGGTAAATGACATTATAAATGTTCTTGGTTTAAAACTTCTGCAAACAAACCTTATCCATCCAATAATTTTAGTCTGTATCGATTTAAAGGAATTCAGAACTCATAGAAATCAAAGAGTTATGACTATTGTATAAAGATTCCCTGTGTTTGTAAAAGCTAATCGGATGGGTGCTCAAGTTTAAGACAAGAGAAGAAAAGTCATTACATGTAAAGAAGTAATTTATGTAAGGATTATCGGATTGTATTAAAACTGCCAGTCCAAGGATCGAATGTATTCGTCTTCCTTTCCTTTTATTGCCATCCTTCACACTGATTGGTTGAATCTTACCATATATACAAATATTTCTTTAAAAAGAAGTAGTGCTAGCCAAGTCTATAAAAATGAAAAAAGGTAACAAGTAATGTTAAGTGGGACAAAGGAACAACGTTAACCTCAAAACGGGATTTGAACACTTAGTTATGGAACGTAAAATTGCAACAGAAACTTTATTTGTATTTTTCCTCTGTTGGGTATGTGTTGAATCTATTTTCCCGCCCCAATGTCAATGTTCCAATATTTCTGCTATATGTCGTCCGGGAGTAAACAGCTTCCCGCCAGGTCTTTCAACAAAAATTATCAATTTACGTCTGAGAGGTACTTTTTACTCTAAGAACAATATACCATCAATTGAACGTGCCTACTTTTCCTCTTTACCGAATTTGAAAAGACTTTATATTGCCTTTAGCAATGTGGAATCATTAGCAGATGGCTCTCTACCGTCATCTTTGATTACATTGGATCTTTCCTTTAACAAACTTGGAGAAATTTCAGAGGACACGTTTAAAGGATTGAAATTTCTTAGAACCTTGCATTTGTCTGGAAATAATGGAACTGAAATTTCTCTCTCTGCTTTCAAGGACTTGTCCAAACTATCAGATCTTATACCTCGCAATAATGGGTTTAACAAAGCTGGATAAACGTTTGCTTAATCGTTTGGTAATGTTGAGGACTTTAGATCTTCACGGAAACAATATCAAACGCCTGGACTGGAGTTTTACGAAGACCAGTAATAACCTAGCATATATAGATATATCTGGAAACTTGTTTACCGAACTATCAAATTCAAGCGTCTTAGCAGTGGACTTTTACGAGAAGCGATGACTTTTACAGTTGACGAATTATTCTCACACTAGGACAGTGTATGGAAGCTCTTTTAAGATAAAAATATTTAGTTCAACCTTTAATTCAACGAAAACAATGGACTATTTTAAAGCACAGAAAAGTTGAAGAAAACGACAATCATCCTACCCTCAAATCCAGGCCTTGACGTATAAGTGCCCCTAACACCATTACTATGACCACTAGAAAAGTTTTTTTTATCCATTATCAATTCTGTACCTCCGTAGATAACACAGGTTTAAATGTCCACGTAAACAGTCAACTTTAAATGTCAGTGCTTCTCGTAAAAGTCCATTACCCCAAATCAAGACTTTGCGTTTAGACGGAAATGAGTGGCACTGCAATTGTGCTTTAGAATGGGTAAAGGTACTTCCAAGTCCGATGCCAGAATCCGTAGTTTGTACCACACCAAAGTCTCTGCAGTATTATTCAATTGTTAATGTTCCTTCTTCACAGTTAACATGTGGACCTTCGTCAGTTGGCTGTACATCGACAACATTTACCGGTAAATATCACACTCAGCTGGAGATTTTTTGCACACTTACAAAACTGGAATATTATAACTACAATGAAACAAACTATGTAGTGTCTGAAACCGGTGTCCTCACAATAAAGTCTCTGGATGTTGTAGATAACGGAGAATGGAAACTTGAAGCCAATAACGTCAGAAAACAGAACGATGTGAGTCTGACGGTGACTGTTACAGACATCCCGACTACCACTACCACCACAACTACCACTATCACCACGCCTACCACTACCACAACTTCCAACCCTACCACCACCAGCAGTACAATGTACCACTACCACCACTCCTACCACCACAACCTCCAATCCTTCCACCCCAACAAACACTCCTACCAGCTCAACCACCACGACAACCCCGCTTCCTTCTAAGACCAGTATCACCATTGACCCAATTGTCAAGACCAGCAAACAAGTGGATATCAAAATCATTATTTACGGATTGGTTGGAGCAAGTGTGGGATGTTCTCTTATTAATCTGATAACCTGTTTCAAAATTTATTTCTGCGAAAGAAAAGAAGAAACATCTTACGAGAAACAAAGCCTTGGTGACATTGTCCAGATACGGATGACCAGATCTAGAAGAATTCACAATATTGACCATAATTAAAATGTAGGTTTGCAACTCACAGAAATTATCCAATACTGACTTTATTTTTATTTCAAACATGCAAAGATGATACATTGTTTATCAAAAATAACTCGACAATAAAACGTTCCATAAAAACATTACAATATTTTTTTAAGGATATGGCTTAGGTCATATGTTTTATACCAGAATTTTATATCGCTTTAATTATGAGAACCTAACTATAAAATTAGACCGACCCAAGATAATATTAGTACGGTATTCTACATTGTCATATTTGATTCACATTATGTCGCTGAATTAGATATATAACTACATGTAAATTTGTACACGATGAGCTCCAACTGGATCAATAAAATAATATAATTACTAGTATTTTTTAAGAAATGCATGTACGTAGAAACAAATTATTCGCATTCAGTTGAAATATGTAATATATCGGTATATTTCTAACCTGAAATCATAAGTATGTAATAATAACCATTAAAAAAAACAATAACTGATATTAATTCCAAATCAGATGACCACAAATCAAAATAAATTAAAAACAAGATGTTTTTGTGAAACACTGATGTGTCAGTATGGCAGCTTATGGCTAGGATTGAATTTTTCTCAAGTACATGTCAAATTCCAAAGGTCAAGGTCAAAAGATCAAAATTGTTGATACCCAAAGCAAGGTCTTGTCACAAGAAATCCACCTGTGAAAAATAAAAGTCCTAGTTTTAAGTGTTCAAATGTTATGGCCCAGATTATTTTTTTAAAGTGGGTCAAACGCTAAGGTCAATGGTAAAAAATATTTATACTCACATTTAATACCCATGTAAAGTATGAAAGCCCTGGCTCCAGTGTTCAAAAAGTTATGACCTAGGTTAGAATGTGATAATTTTTGTAAAATGGGTCAAACTCCAAGGTCAAGAGGTCAAATTTGGTAGTACCCAAAGAAAGGTCTTGTCACAAGGAATACACATGTGAAATATGTGTCCCGCCCACTCAAACTGTATGAGCAAGATAAAAGTTTTTTGGACAAACAGATAGATAGACAGACAGACCAGGCACAAACTATATACCCCCCAAACTTCGTTTACACAGACATAAAAAGAAATAGTACCATACACATTTCATAGCAGATACGATGAATTCTTGAACAAGTTCATCAAATTGCAATGCTTTAATTGTAGGTAAGATTATTGTCTCCATTCCAAATAAGTTGCAAATGCTCAAGGCTTTGGAAAATAGAAAATCAAGAATATAATTAAAGCTTATGAATAACTGATTCTTCTTCATTTACATGTATCTTTCTGAATGTTTCAGCTTACGTAGTAATTGTAAATTAATAGTGATATAGATAGACGAATTAAAATCATAAAAATCTTTTTGCAATTTCCAACCGACAATAACAGAGAAAATGGATTTTAAGAACTGTCTTTTTTTCTGGGTACATAGGATACCAGACAACATTGATCTACATCGTATTTATGAAGAAGTTTTTACATTTCTTTATGAATGGTGTGATAGTACATCATTTGCTCTTACTTCTAACATTTTGGTAAGAAAGTGAATTCAAGTAGTAAAACATAAATTTTTGAAATACATTTTAGTCTGATGAGCCTTAAACATTGTATCTATACATGTACTTCTTCATGGCCAAAAAGAAGTTGTTCTCTTACAGTGCCATTGACAGAGACAATAATGTGTAGCAATGTCACGAAAATTAAGCAGGATGTTGACCTAGTATGTCTTCTTCTTGATATCCCTGTGTTTACGATTTGAATAGATCTTCAAACATGCAAACACAATGTATCCACAACTATGTGACATACCATCAATACTGTAACTATTTTACTCGTGGAAACCACAGAGGAGGTACGACAAAATTGTAAAATATATTTTCTTTGGTTGTAAAAATAATACACGAGTTCTATACATAAATTTAGTTGGATTATCCAAGTTACAAGACTGAATGAAATTGTGAGACATTTCAAGCATAGGGCAAACGTAGAATCTTGATGAGCAGGAATTTATCTTAAGAATTATGGGATTCTCTTGACATTGAAAGAGCAAAGCTGAAGTATATTGCTTTATCTCTCAGTCTTCTTTTATGTGCAACTCTACCAGGTGATTGATTAAATGAACTCATTAAATTTATTTATGTACATTATTCTTTGAAAGAGAGAAAGAGGCAGCGAAGTATATAAAGCATGAGGGTTGAAATTTGGTTGAAAGTAAAACTTAACGTTCAACGAAAATTAAGCGAGAAACTGAAGGAACAGTTATGAATAGTAAAATAGTTTCGATTATTTTTTGTGTAGCTTTTGTAGAATGGGTATGTATAGAATCTATTTGCCCGTCACAATGCCAATGTTCCAATATTTCTGCCATCTGTCGTCCAGTGCTAAGCAGCTTTCCGTCTGGTCTACCATCAGAAATTATCAATTTACATCTGAGTGGTACTTTTGCCTCTAAAAACAATATACCATCAATAGAACGTGCGTACTTTTCGTCTTTACCAAATTTAAAAAGACTTTATATTGCCTTTAGCAATGTGAAATCCATTGCAGATGGCTCTCTACCATCATCTTTGATTACACTGGATCTTTCCTTTAACAAACTTGGAGAAATTTCAGAGGACACGTTTAAAGGATTGAAATTTCTTAGAACCTTGCATTTGTCTGGAAATAATGGAACTGAAATAACTCTCTCTGCTTTCAAGGATTTGACCAAACTTACAGAACTATACCTCGCAGAAATGGGTTTGACAAAGCTGGATAAACGCTTTCTTAATCCTCTGGGTATGTTGAAGACTTTGGACCTTCACGGAAACCATATCAAACGCCTGGACTGGAGTTTTACTAAAACCAGCAATAACCTAGCATACATAGATATATCTGGGAACTTGTTTACCGAGCTATCAAATTCAAGCGTCTTAACATTACCCAATATCAAGACTTTGCGTTTAGACGGAAATGAGTGGCACTGCAATTGTGCTTTAGAATGGGTAAAGATACTTCCTAGTCCGATGCCACAATCCGTAATATGTTCCTCGCCAAATTCTTTGCACTATCAATCAATCATTAATGTTCCTTCTTCACATTTCATATGTGTACCTGCGTCTGCTAACTGTACATCAACAACATTTACCGGTAAATATCACACTCAGCTGGAGATTTCATGTACACTTGGAGGGGATCCATTTCCTAATATTGTCTTTAAAAGACCCGATGGCACAAAACTGGAATATTATAACTACAATGAAGCAAACTATGTAGTGTCTGAAACCGGTGTCCTCACAATAAAGTCTCTGGATGTTGTAGATAACGGAGAATGGAAACTTGAAGCCAATAACGTTAGAAAACAGAACGATGTGAGTCTGACCGTGACTGTAACAGACATCCCGACTACCACTACCACCACAACTACCACAACCACTACCACCACTCCTACCATCACAACCACCACCACTCCTACAACCAGTACCACCATCACCACCACCACTCCTTTATTGACCACCACAACTACTATTACACTTAAAACCACTACTTCAAGCATCAGCACAACCTTGCCTACTTCTATTACAGCCACAACTACCTCACTTGCAGCAAAAAATACAAGGCAACAAAATGTCAACCAGACCAAGCCGGTGGATATGATAAACACTATTTACGGGCTGGTGGGAGCGGTCTTAGGATGTTCTGTTTTTATTCTGACAATCTGTTTCATATTGTACTGTTGCACTAAAAAGAAAGGAGCATGTAACGAGAAACAAACTCTTGTTGAAAATATCAGGTTGTGGATTTCAAGAAGGTTTCAAAGAGTACACAACATCAACCACACCGAAAATTTAAGTTTGTGATCGATTAAACAAATAGCAAGGGAACTAGACAAAGTAGCTTATATACATGTATGTATCTACATAGGAGATTGGCCTGATGACTTTTTTCTTTCAAAACTGCAAAAGTGATTGTTTATCTTGGACAAATTTGGGGGGGAAAATCCAGCATATTTTATTTATTTTTTAATGGTTGTTGTTGACAAAATGTAATGAGAATACTCTCGTATAAGGTCATTGATTAATATTTATTTTTATATGAAGGTAAAATTATTGCATTTTGTTAAGCATTTAAAAAATAATTAATAAAAAAAAATTTCAAAACAAATTATGTACATGTACGTATATCTCCTAAAAATGTCTATTATTTACAATGTTTTACTAAGAAAAAAAGGTGTTGGACCGCTGACTGTAATCACCCCCCCCCCCCCCCCATTTTCGACTTGTTCTCCGGGACCATGCACTCGATTAATTTCAACCAAACTTGTCACAAAGCATCTCTGGGTAAAAGGATCCATGTCTTTGGGACGCCAAATTTACAAAAATGAGCTAAAAATAGTTTTACAGTCGATAAACTAGGTTTATCGTTGTAAACTATAGTTTACGGACTGTAAACTATAGTTAACAACGTTAATCTATACAGTATTTTACATCTATAAACTATAGTTAACAGCCGTAAAATATTGTTTTACAAATGAAAACTATAGTTAAGGAATTGTTAACTATAGTTCACGGTTTGTAAACTATAGCTTACACTCGATAGACCTACAAATATGTAGTTTATCAACTATGAAAGTATGTTTAGCTCATTTTTGTGAATTTGGCGTGCCATACATGTCATAAAAGGACAACGCGCTAATTCAAGGAGAAAAATTAAAAAAGTGAAAAATTGGTAGCATTTCTTTAAATTTCCTCCTCTCAAAAACTACTGGGTCTAAAAAGTTGAAACTTATAGCAAACTTTTTCTACATTTAAGTCTGATCAGATGACCCCTGTAGGAAGGATGGAGTCACATTGAGGGAATAAAAGTTCTACATACAATGTTGGAATAAATAGGAATATAATATTTTTTTTTCTCAAGAACAGCAAAGCCATAATTATTATCCATACTGAAATAAAAGCATCTTCAGGAAGTATAAAGGGTGTTAAGAAAGTTCATTCCACATTTATCTTTTATTTCCGAAAAGAAATACGATAAAAACATATTTAAAATTTGTGAAATGTCATGTTTGTAGAGTCCGTTCTTGCTACTGATATGCTTTTAACTGTCTTTTGTTGAATCAAAAAGGGGAGGACAGGTATTAAAACAGAGGATGTCTGTGCAGAAAAATTCTAGAAAAATACTATACAAAAATTATCAAGTCGGTAAAAAATTTCAAAATGACAAACCTTTCTTCTGAAAAGTAATCGTTCTTATACCTACGCTCATCAGCTAGTTTTATGCAAGATAATAATGAGTGTTTTAAGATAAGCTATGAAGAATCAAAGGTAAATTAGCCTTTATTTTTTACTCAAAATGACCAGCATTTCTATCATTCGGGTGCTTTAAAGATGTTATATATATATATTCATATAGAAGAAAAATCCTATAACTCCTGCTTGAATTGGATTGCTATAAATCTGAAGCACAGCCTTGTGATTTTGTCATACTTGAAAATTAATCTCTTTAGTTCAGCACTCTTTCAAAATTTTTAGGTCACCTGAGTAAACTCAGGTGACCTATTGCTATCTGTTTTTGTCCGTCGTCGTGCGTCGTTCGTCGTGCGTTGTGCGTCGTGCGTTGTGCGTTAACATTTGAACATTTTCAGCTTCTTCTCTGCAACTACTGAACCAATTTCAACCAAATTTGGCACAAAGCATCTATGAGTGAAGGGGAACAAAAATTGTGAATTCCATGATCCCTGCCCCCCGGGGCCTGCGGGGTGGGGCCAAAACCACTAAAATTAATGCAATCTTTAAAAATCTTCTTCTTTACTCCTAGACATCAAGCAGACAAACTGTTTGCATGATTGTAATCAGCATTGAGTCCTCTACCAAAATTGTGAAATTCATGGCCCTGGGGTCAGGGGTTCTAGTGCTAGGGCGGGACTAAATAAGTATATAGTGAAAATGCATTATTTCTTTGAAAATCTTCTTCTCTGCTCCTGGTTATTAAATAAACAAACTACATACATAGTTATGATGAGCAAGAGTGCCTCTACCCAAATTGTGAATTTTATGGCCCCAGGGTCAGGGGTTCTGGTGTTAGGGCGGGGCTCTAAGATTATATATTAGGGAAAATATATAAATTCTTTAAAAATCTTCTTCTCTGCTCCTGGGGATTAAATAGATTAACTAAGTGCATAGTTATGATGAGCAAGAGTGCCTCTACCACAAATTGTGAATTTTGGGGCCCCAGGGTCAGGGGTTCTGGTGTTAGGGCGGGGCTCTATTGATTATATAGTGAAAATACATGAAAATCTTCTTCTCTGCGCCTGGGTATCAAATAGATTAAATAAGTGCATAGTTTTGATGAGCATGAGTGCCTCTACCAAAATTATGAAATTCATGGCCCTCGGGTCAGGGGTTCTTGTGTTGGGGGGGGGGGGGGCTCTATTGATTATATAGTGAAAATACATGAACTCTTTGAAAGTCTTCTTCTCTGCTCCTAGGTATTAAATAAACTAACTAAGTGCATAGTTATAATAATGAGCAAGAGTGCCTCTACTAAAATTGTGAAATTTAAAGCCCGAGGGTCAGGGGTTCTTGTTCGGGGGGGGGGTCTATTATTATATAGTGAAAATACATGAATTCTTTGAAAATCTTCTTCTCTGCTCCTAGGTATTAAATAAACTAACTAAGCACATAGTGATGATGAGCAAGAGTGCCTCTTCCAAAATTGTGAATTTTAGGGCCCCAGTGTCAGGGGTTCTAGTGTTAAGGGGGGGGGGGGTGGCTCTATTAATTATAGTGAAAATTCATGAATTCTTTGAAAATAAACTTCTCTGCTCCTGGGTCAGTTGAACTACCTATATAGTTATGAACAAGGACCCTAGTCCTCCAGAATTGTGAATTTCAAGGCCCCAGGGTCAGGGGTACTATAGAGAGGGGGGCTGTACTTATAGACTGAAAATGAATGAATTGTTTGAAATCTGCTCCTTGGTATTAATCAAATATTTTTGAAAAGCAAGGATGCCTTTTCAAAAATCGTGCAATGTGTGGATCTAGGCCGAAAGGTCAGGGGTCCATGTGTGGTAGGGGCACTACTGATTATTGCTGAATATTACTGATTAGTTGAAATGCATTTTTTGTTCCTCTGCCTTGCCTATGGGTATTAAGTAACCAACTAAGCAACTTCTAAGTGTATAGTTATGATGATCAATGATGCCTCTTTCAAAATTGTGAATGCCATAGCATCTGGCTTAAAACATGAATCAAATTCAATCACTGGAAAGTTGTTGCATAATGCTCAGGTGATCTATAAGGCCCATGGGCCTCTTGTTTAAGTATTTCATCATGGAACAAACTTCTTAACAGCCCTTATTTAAGGTTTGTTAAAAAGATGACCCCAAGGGTAGAGTGGGGCACAATGGGGGATCAAAGTTTAACATATGAATACATAGGAAAATTTTTGAAAATCTTTATAGGAACAGCAAAACCATCTTTTGTCATATATTGATATGAAAGCATCGTCAATTAGTGTAGATTCAAGTTCATTCAAATTATGACCCCTCCCCCCCCCTCCCGAGAGATGGTAGATCCTGGGGTAGTGTAGGGTTACCATGGGATAAAAGTTTTCATTTGATAAAGAGGGGGGAAGTTTCTCAAGAACAGACAAGTCTTGTTTATTAATATTGAAATAAAAGCATCCTCAGGAAGTGTTTATTCAAGTTTGTTCAAATCGGGAGGGTTGGGGGGGGGGGCAGAATGGAGATAAATTTTTACAAAGGAATATATACTGTACAAGGGGAATAAAGCCATAGGTAGTCAAAGAAATATGCAGCATCCTTAGTTAATGTAGATTCAAGTATGTTCAAATCATACCCTCTACCCTATAAGGATTGGTTGGGACCACTTTTAGGTTTAAACTTTTCAATAATGAACGGATTTCTGCTTTTTTCATAGCCACAGCTCAGGTGAGCAATGTGGCCCATGGCCCTCTTGTTAAATAATGTTGCCATGGTCACTCAAGTAATTTATTTTAGTTCCTTCAAATTCTTCCTACAGTTTTGTGCCAATTTTGGTACATTTGTAGAGTAAGATACAATAATTGGATACATAATTTTTTTTTTTTTTTTTTAACTTAAAAAAATATTTTATATGTCAACATTTTGTGCTGCAGTGGTTAAGTTATGTAAAACGAACCATTGATTAATGAAAGTTAAAGAAGTCCAACACGCATTCGTGTTTTTGGTCATATTTTGCCTTCATACAGCTTTCTCCATGATTAAATTTTCAAAAGTGGAGAACCCTGATACAAAAGGAAAAAATCTTCCAAAGAAATTTGCTCAAGGACAGTAAAGCCATTTGCAAGATTGAAATGGAAGCACCATCCTAGTTTAAGATCAAGCCCCCATCCTCCCTTGTAAACTATTCAATACCGAACTGATTTGTGTTTGTCACATTGTGCCAATGTGCTCAGGTAAGCTATATCGCCAAAAGACCTCTTGTTTTAGATGGTTCTGTTCTTTTTTCTTTAAATCTGAAATTTATCTGAATCCCTGGTTCAGTTGCTCTCATTTAATTGAAATATTTGGAATTTAAAGTGTAGCATATTTGCAATATTTTGAGATATTATGTTCTATATTCATATCTCATAACATGAAAATACACTGATATGACAATATGTGAATATGATTAATAGATATTTTGTAGTAATTAACAAAAATATTTTGTAGTAATTAACAGCAAGGTGAATACGAAATTCATTTTGCTTTCATCCGACTCATGAATATATCTAAATTTCTGTATTATTACTATTATACCATTATTGTGAAATATTAAATTTCAAATGTTACATTGTATTACTATTGGCTAACTGTTTCTGTGTAAAAAAAAAAATTAAAGAACTATAATAAATGGCTCATAACAATTTAATATTACAATAATTGTAAATAATTTTACAATGATGCTACAACTTGATGTTTAAAATTCAAAAACAATATTTAACTTTGTTAATTGATCATAATTATTGATTTATCGCCTGTCAGTTTTTCCACCCTTGCGTTTTCCTGCAAACAGATGTTTAGGTTTCATGTTCAATATGACACGGTCTCCCTCTCCCTTTTTGGCCTCACGGTTTCTAGGAACTTGAGCTTTCCTGCCAATAGTCTTCACCTTCTTGGCCATCTTTGCATCACGGACTCCGGACTGATCACGTGGTGCTTTACTCACCGATCGACTCCTAGATCTTGGTTTTTCGACATCCATGGATTCTTCCCTCTTTCGTTTCAGAGCCTTCCTGCTCTTGCTTCTTGATCGCATTTGGTTTAGGTGTGTATCTTCCTCCGAGTCCATTTCAATTCCAAGGTCTCCTAGCTCCTTGCTCATTCTCTCTGTGCTCATCTTCATTCTAGGAAGTCTGGGTTTTTCTATCCTCCTCTTTTCTCTGGATTCCAGCATGATTATCTTTCTCTTCTCTCGGATCTTCCTAGCTGTCTTCCTAATGCTCTTCATCTCCTCATCCTCTTCTTCACTCTCGTTGTCATAGTAACCAGCTTGTTCTCTCATTTCTTCCTCCTTTTCTAATTCATCCAGTTTCTTCATGATGTCAGGATCAATGAAGTCTGCCACATTGTGTCCCTGCCAGATTTCTGGGATAATATCATATTTCTCCTCTTCATTGGAAAGGTCCCAGTGTTTTCTCAAATCAACAATGAAATCATCTCCCTCTTCCAATTCAATGTCTCTCTCAAGCTTACGTTTAGGTTTCACATCAGTGTCCATGGTTTTCTTCATATTTAACACAGCTTCAGGGATGCATGGAGGTCTTTCTTTGTTGTCACGCTTAGCTGGCATTGCAACATGCAATCGGTTCATAACATCATTCACTTTTTTCCCCTTGATTTTACTGTCGATTCTGTATTGAAGTAATTTTTCACATGCTTGTATTTTGACATCCATGACTCCTTCCTCTGTCAATGTACTCATGGGTAGAATTGGTACATCATTTTCTTCAAACTCTTTGATAAGATCTGCTTTTTCTTTTGGAAGGTCATCCATGCGGACCACATCAATCTTGTTGGTACAAATGATCAGTGGTTTATTCACAAAAAGGGGCTTTATGTTATTGAAAAGTTCAATTTGCTGTTCTATGGAATATCCACACTGTTCAGAAAGATCCATGACATATAAGACAGCTGCTCTCAGGTGAGCCAAAGCTGTAATTGCCTGCATTTCAATGGTATTTCTCTCTTCCAAAGAATGATCTAGAATTCCTGGTGTATCAAGCACCTGCCACCGGAGATACTTGTAATCAGTGTGACCAACATACAATGATTTGGTAGTAAAGGCATAAGGCTGAACTTCAACATCAGCTCGAGTGATCTTGTTGATAAAACTGGACTTCCCAACATTTGGAAAACCACACACCAACAAGGTACGAGTGTTTGGATCAATCGACGGCAAGCGGGAAAGATGTTGACGCACCTGTTCCAGATATTCCAAACTTTGCTTCTGACGTTTCATAATGGTACACATTCTTCCCATGGCAGCTTTCTTAAGTTGTTTACATCTGTAAAGTGAGTCTCCATATTTGAGGAGGCGGCAGTAATCTTTAGATACATTGTCAATCAAATGCCTGGCTGTGTTGATCTGGCCCAGAGCAAGCTTATAGTGATCTTTGTCATACAGTACGTTCATTAAATCAGCATAAAAGGGATGGACATCTTCAAGTTTTGGAAAATCTGTAATGATTTGAGTCAGCTTGTCATGAAAATTTTGCTGTGTGTACTTCACTTTCCGCATGTAAAACGTCCGAATTCGGCTGATTTTGTAGTGTTTATGCACTACAGTTGGAGTTTTCCTCTGTGTCTTTGACAAGACGATGTCCACAAAATCCTTTGCAGGAGGAACAACAGTTATTTTCTTAAAATTGTAATGAGCCATTCTGTCTGATGTTCTCTCAATCACATGTGCTCACATGTGGACGTAAAAAGGAAGTGACGAAATGTTTTCATCATAGTCTTGAAAAGTTTTGTGTCAACAAAGTGAGACCTTAATTCTATAAAACGCAATCGTGACTAATACACAGTGTAAATTAAAGATAAAATACTAATAAAAAAATATTTTCAACTAATTTAATGATATTAGAGAAATGTGTTTTAATATACTCTGCAGTAACTGTAATATTTTTTCCTTGAGTCAGATTTTTTTCATGGAAAGACGCTAATTAGGGGAAAAGTTGATGACACCGCACTTTCACCAGTGGTTTTTAAAGGCTTGAATTCCTAAAATTTAGAAAATGTTTGTATAAAAAATATTTCAAAACATGGATTTACCTTTAAGACAATAATATAAGCTGTTCATTATTTTTACTATAAAAATTAAAATAACTTTCATTTTTGCTTCATTTCATGCCAATGAATATTTGTATCTGTATTACATATATACAATAAGCATTGCATCATTATATGAAACAGAAAGTACTTTTTTTGGTTTTTTATTTTTAATTAAAATTATTTTAAATATTTAAAAATCATAAAAAAACCATACGTTTTGTTATGATTTTTAAATATTTAGACCACAGAAGTGAAAACTTCATAAAAATATATCTAATGTTATTTTTTTATTGTATAGAATACCAATGGTCTAAAGATATATATCATATCTTAAACTATTATTCATGTATCTTAATCAATTTAAAATGATTAAAGCATTGTTATATCAAGGATTTGTTGCTTAAAACAGAGTATTCTTTCGTTTAGTGTAATTAGGCATCGCAATCACTGCGACGCTTATTACATCCGGGCATTTTAAGCGGTTCGTCTCGAAGATCAACAAAACAGACATGGTAAAAATCGTAATTATGCTTATATTAATTAATTTATTCAGTGGTTCCTAATTGATAACTATTGATAAAATCACAGAAAGAACAGTCAAGCGTTTAAAACATTTCAAGTAAATAACAGTTCAGATAATTAGAAAATAACTATAGAGTGCGCGTGGAAAGTGCATGTTTTCACTTGCGTTGAGGAAAATTTTCCGAAGCAAATAAAATAAAGCCAAAAGACAGATATTGCACAAGATTTATTATGGCATATCAACATTTGATTTATTATGAAATAAAAAATGGTTTAATTTTAAGATGTCAGTTAAATTTAAAATTCATTGTATACTAGGCCTAAAAAGATTGTTGAAAAAGTGTTAGAAATACTAAATTAAGCTGGATAATTTTAACTGTTGTCATGAAAGTCTGAAATCCATTGTTTACGGTGTGACCGTTGGGGTGAGCACAGAACTTTGTACTATCAAAAACACTTGAAAAATTGATCAGCCACGTCAAACATCAAGCCACACAAATACTTTGTCGGAGTAATTAATAGCTAGTGCAGTTTTGGTCAAAAACATTGCAGAGTTATTTTTTGTTTCTTTGAGAGATTTCAGGAAAGCCTTTTATGCTTTACGTTATTACTGCCCAATAACCACCCGTTGTCAGAAAATTGCAAAAAGGGGGCTTATTTTGGTGTTCTCTTTAAATATTTAATGTGATATTTTATAAAAAATGTAAGAAAATAGAAATAAATACAAGAATCATAATGATTTTAAAAGTAAAATATTACCCAAATTATGCTAAATTGTTCATTTTCACACACAAATTGGATGTTCCAAATTTCATTTTCAATTCCTAACTTTTTTTTTATATGACTTTGATTTTAGTCAGTGCAGCTAGGCATTGGAAAAGACGCCGCTAGGGGTGGTTAATAGCATTATACGGTATAATTTAGCAACGGACATTGGGTAGTAAGAAATTCTGGAATGTTTCACATAAAAATTTGCCTGACGTATGCACATTCATTCCAAATTTCCTTGTTCTTACATGCTAGCAACTCGCTTCACGAGCATCCTGCAACTATAAATGTAAGAAGTCAATCTGATTTTAATTAAAATATTAGAATATCTTGAATGTTGCTATCACACGCAAAACTTCCCAGATTTATTTTAACTTTATACAAATTTATAGCAAGCGCAGCTAGGCATTGCAAAGCGCCGCTGATAAATATTAAAGCAACGCCTGGGCGAATAGAAATGAGATTCTTTTACTTTCAGCACTGTTCAGGCTTCTTTTGGTAATGTAACTTACATACAATGTTATGTGATGTTAGAGTGTAGACACATCAAATGGCATGTGCAGTTTGACAAGTCCTATCTAAATTATAAAGAAAAAAATATCCCACACCTTCAACCTGCATAGTTAAACACTTGTTTTAAATATGCTTACTTAAAGAATATATGATTTGGACAAATAAGATTGGACTTATTTAGGGCGAGTGCAGATACTTATCCTGTTTTCATTTATATCGGGCTCGTCAAACCGCATGTGTCATTTGACATTGTAAGCATGTTGCTTTACCAAACCAAAGCCTGAACAGGACTGATTTTAATGAAGAACCGTTTTATTCACTATTTCTTTGCAATAAATTCTTTAAATCAAGGCAAGTGTATTATTCGTTTATTTGTTGTTGTTATTCTCACAAGAACATTGCTTAAGCTTTTGTGTACAAAGCGATGTATTGTGGGTCCAAATTACTGGGGAAAAATTCTATCGAATGAATGTGCAGTAGTCTGAATTTTCTCTTAGTCCAGGCATTGTCTATGGAGCTCGCCACTCTGAGTTTCTCGGATGGCTTGTACCTTGCACATAACCTCGGATGTCAACAGTGATCTTCCATCTTGCTGATTCAGTAATGTGATCTTATTTGAATTATATTCAAATGTTATACTTTTGAAATATGAGTTACTTTGTTGCATGCTGAACACTGTGTTCTCACTTTCAAAGACTACTAACATATGGTTGTAATTAATGAGGAATTATACAAATAAAGAAACCTTTTCAAAGAACATGAGGCAGAACGAAATATGAAATGAGTGACAAGGCAGTTTCCAGGGGGGAAATGTGTCGACTTGATGGGTATTACTCCATCTATCACATCCGAGGTTTGAATGGAGCGTAGTGGAGTCAGCCAAGAATTGTCGATTGGGAGCTCGCAGTGATGAGTGTTGCAGCACTCGCTGCATTTTTCAAGATACCAAAGTATATAAACTATGTAAAGTACAGAGATATTTTCAGAGTTCAAAATATAATATTTTCTTTGATATTTTTTAGGCATCATATGGAAAAAAGACAACATTAGCAGGGGGTGGGGCTAGAAAGAAGGGAGGTCCCAAACCAGAACTGACAGATGAACAAAGGCAGGAGATAAGAGAAGCTTTTGATTTGTTTGACACAGATGGATCTGGTACTATAGATGCCAAGGAGTTGAAAGTATGTAAATATCTTAAAGTTTACAGACAATTTATGTATTATTGATTCTGTGTGAGGACAATCTGCATACCAATACATGTACATGTATAGAAATATAAAAATATCACCAAAAAAATTCTTTTTTTTTGGTTGATTTTAATCTTTGGATTTAATATATATATATCAAGATAGATATGCTAAATATAAAAATTGATATGAAATACATTAAATGCAAACTTTGTGATTTTTTTAAACCCAGTTCAAAATTTTTTGATGCATATTACATGTACTTATTGTACTACCGTTGTGTGAAAATGCAAGAAAACATGTACGGTATTGATATTCAACAGATTTCAAAAATAACATTAAATAGTACTATTGTTATGCAAGTAAAATCTACAGCATAATTTTTTCTGCTGTATATATTTCCACACAATAGAGTTGATTCATTGTTTTAATTTTATAGGTAGCTATGAGGGCTCTTGGCTTTGAACCTAAGAAAGAGGAAATCAAAAAGATGATAGCTGACATTGATAAAGAAGGATCTGGTATTTGCTTTACAATTATAATTTTGTCTTTCTAGTTTTATACATAATTTTACGAATGAATTTAATAGCTATTCAATTTATACAGTTAAACTTATTTAGTACGAACACCGATATAGCGAATTCACAGATACAGCGAAGTTTTTTGGATCCCCGGCAAAATTTTTAACAAATCTTTGCAAAATTTTACGTTTATAACGAACTCTGATATAACGAATTTACGGATATAGCGAACTGATTATGAGTCCCGTTTAGGTTAAATATAATGAAATTTACATCTTTTATAACGAACTTTCAAAGAACTCAAAATTTGATAAACTGAACTGACTTTATATTGTTTTAGCATTTGAATATAAAAATTCAATTCATAATAAAACCTTACTCCAGCATGCTAGAGGTTCACGGCGAGATACTTTTGACTTGGCGCCGCGTAACCTCTAGCATCCATTGCAAAAATTCTCGCCGCTGAAACCCCAAGTGGAAATAAATTATTTTATTAAGAAATAAGGCTTTGTATATTAACGAATGGTACGAAATAATAAAATACTCAATATTTACGATAAAACTTACGCATAAAACACTGTTAACCTCTCGTATTAGCAATAAATCCATTATTTTTTGAATCGAAGCAGAAATTGAAACAAGTCATCTGTTTAAAATTCTGAAATGGAATTCAGAAATTCTGACGAAACGAAACTAGTGTAATGCAACGAAAATTTCGTTTTCTGACAAGCAATCCGCAAAATTAATGTGAAGTCAAATCGAAAGTACTTCTGGTGACAAATTGGAATAATGACAATTTTTATCAATTAACAATAATGCACACTGAATTAAATGGATTTTATTCTTTCTTGTGACTTTCATACCCCATGCAAACACGTAGGTACCTGAAAATTACTTGTTAACAGTTTATTTCACGCATAATACGTTCCGCCCAAAATCTCAGGCGGAACGAGCTCGTAAGAAAATGGCCTTCGGATGTAAGAGTCCGAGGTATATAAGGAGCGTAGGGACGTTAACCGAGGCTCTTACTTGTAGGAGTAAATAAAACCTTAGTTATCGAAAGTATGTTTTGCAGTATTTGCTTCCCTAACATATTTAGTAGAAACACTTGAAGGAAAACATGCATACTGCAAATTTGCTAAATATGGTTATACAAATTCGTTATACGGATATAACGAATTACGGATATTGCGAATAACTTTCACAGGTCCCCAGGACTTCGCTTTAACCGAGTTTTACTGTACACTGTATAACATTTGTTGGAACAGTTTAGTAATACGCTTTATAAACTGCAAAGCAGCTTATGAAAAAATGTAAACTATTCTAACCCATGTTATACCAGTGTAACTTGGGTAGCTATTAATTTCATTCCTTAAAATTTGATTTTCCATCATTCAGTGAACATAATACTATAATTTTTGCCTCAAATATGGCTTTAATTGAACATATTTTAAAAATTACATCAAGCGGTAAATGTAAACCAACTTTATTCACGTACGAGAAATTTTTGCAGTGAAGGGGTCCATAAAATCTCTGTGTCTATTAAATACAGATCCTGAAAAAGGCTTGATTGCGAAAATTAATTGTATTGGACTAGCTTGCCCCTGGTAAATTACGAAATAAAGTCATCATGAATAAAAGTTGGTTTACAATAAATATGTTTTTAATGTATTGGACTAGCTTGCCCCTGGTAAATTACGAAATAAAAGTCATCATGAATAAAAGTTGGTTTACAATAAATATGTTTTTAATGTAAGTCATTGTGACATTAACAACTTATGTTAAACAATATGAAGTAAATTTTTTTATCCAATCAAATGAGCTGTTACAAGCAAAATTAAATTATTCCTAAGTAACTATCATACAAAAATTGCAAAGTTGCATAAATGTTGTGAATAGGGATGTACACTTCTTCAATATTAGTCAAGTGTTCATTTAGGTTACCTGTGTTTTCTTTGATTTTTTAGGTACCATTGACTACAATGACTTCCAAAATATCATGACACAGAAAATGAGTGAAAAAGATTTGAAAGAAGAAATCCAGAAAGCATTCAGGCTTTTTGATGATGATGACACAGGAAAAATCTCATTTAAGAACTTAAAGAGGGTGTCAAAAGAATTGGGAGAAAACCTAACAGATGAAGAACTTCAGGTACATTATTAATTTCAATATGGAATAGAATCTCTTAAAGATATCCTCTTTTTTTAGGTCATTTACATTAGCTGATTACCCATTTTTGAGCTATTCACACAAAGTGTCCTCAGAGTTTAATAATTTTACTTGTATCTCCTAGCTGTTACAGCAGTTATTCTGGGAATTGCTCAAATCTGTCTAATGAATATGAAAGCACATTTGTCTAATCTGAAATTTAATGAGTTGAATATAAAATATTTACATAAGCTAGTATGTGTCCATCTGTCTGCATTTATCAGAGTCTTACTTATTGTAAAGTATATGTGTTCCTTTGTATTCCTGCAATAGATATGCAGTATTTGTCATTCATATTTAAACTCTGCACACACATGTATATTCTAAAAGCATTAATATAGAACTAATAAGTACAATATTTTTATCAATAGTTATTTCTCCTAAATGCTACAACACAAAAGCCTGTCTTGCTCAGAAATTCCAAGTTTAATATCTCTTTTGTTTTACAGGAAATGATTGATGAAGCAGATAGGGATGGTGATGGTGAAATCAATGAACAAGAATTCCTGAAGATCATGAAGAAAACAAGTCTTTATTAACCACCACTAGACTGTTCAAATCTCAAACATTCTTAAGCCACATTCTCATTGGTTGTCTGGGACCACAGAAAGGCGGAGCTTATTTTGATTGACAGAGAGGAATGAGTGAGACATTCTACGGTGTCTGTGTGAGTGGATGAAGATGATGTATGGTAGATAACTGTTAGATTATTTATGTCTTGTGATAAATTAAGTCATTCATGAAATTAAGACTGATAAAATTGTTTTGTTGTTCCAGTGTACCTATTTATGGAGACAATCTAGTTAAATTTATAATAATACCTCAATTCTTCCAGCCCTGTATTTTGTCTTCATTCTTATCTTTCTAATGATGAATGTTTTGTCTTCATTTCCACGGTAAAGAAATAGTTTTCAATGTAGAACTTTTGGTAAATTATGAATGTTTCTTGAATTGTTCAATATGCTGTTATGAAGTGCTTTAAGGAATACTAGCCTTTGATGTAATTATGTGTTGATGATATAGATCTGAACAAGCATTTATCCCTGTGTCCGTTCTAGTTGTTTGTTTTGTATACTCTCAGAAATATTTACAGTATCTAATATTGCCATAAAAAATAAACTACTGAATGCCTAAATCTTGTGTTGATTTTGAGACCTGAAGGGTAACTACATGTAAATTGTCTGATATTGACTGCTTTTACTTGTTTTAACTCTTCTAGTAAAATGTATAACTCATGATCATTTGAGATTTTCTGTCTCATAAGTTTACCAGTGAATATGTTTCTATCTCTACTGGAAAAATAATGAAAATGTTTGATAGACAAGTATTCCCTGTATACCTAAGGTTAAATCAGAGACAGAGTTATCTCTCTTTGATCACAATCATTTTTTGAGGAATTTAAATGGAGCAAAACTTCTTTATTATAGAAGTGTTAGAGGGTGAAGATAACCTTATATAAAAACTTTAATGCCATGACCCAGAAATTTCTTTTTATTTATAAGGTGATCTTGAAATATTGTCAAGCAGAACATAACTTGGCTTTTTCTGTCGATGAGATTTTTTCTCAACCTGATGGAAAAGGGTGACTGATGTTCTGAATGGAAATATTGTAAGATTGTACATGCTTGGGTATATAGTGTATATCCACTGTTCATATAATTCAGACAAATGGGCTTCAAAACTGCAAGCAAAAGTTTGATCTTTACTGACGCAGGAATATAATACAGTGTACATGTATCTCTACTCCCACCTTGACGTCTTAATCAACCATATTGGAGAAAATAAACTCTTTGAAAATCAGTATCTAAGTTATTTTATTTTCAAAAATCACTGAAGAAGTAATAAATATAATTGAGCACCAGTATTGTAAACATTTTTATCACAGATTTGTTGATTAAACATTAGTAAATAATAGTACAAATTAATTTAATACCGATTTATTCTTGGTTACATCATTGAAAAATATATACATTGTAAGCCACATTACAAATGCCCAATCTGAGTACACTCATCATGAGTATTAAAGCATCGTTATTATAAAACTTTTTTTAAAGACTGACCTGTCCATCAGGAATAATATCACTTGAATTAATGCTACATGACTAGATTTGCTGAAAAGTGAAAATGTATAAATACCCGTGTTTCATAAATTATAGTGATTAATTTTGAATGATAACATCTAATATTGTTAAGCCATCTTTAAAATAATGTTTGTTTGCCCCTCTCCCAACCCAGGGTAAAAAAATGAAACATACATATTGACAGGATGAGAAACTCCATGAATAAAAAGAAAACTGTTTCTTAGAGGTTAAAAAAGTTTTGAGTGGGCCATTTTTAGGCAGTCAGTCAGGAAAGGGTATACAAACAATTTTTAAAGATCACCCCATGAATGTTTTTAGTGACAAAATTGAGCATTTTTGATAGTACACAAGACAAGAAATAAAAATAACCTTGGAATACCATTCAAGATGGCAGAGGTACTTCATTATAAGTTAATTTCACATGAGGAGATTTCACTGGCAAAAACCAATACTCCTCATTGTAAAAGAAATAAAATTTGTTCTCAATGAGTATCTCTTCCAGGGCAGATATTAAATGCTCTATCAGTAGTGGGCTGGCCACGTGTGCTTGAAATTTGGAGTAGAATTTCATGACATCATTCTTGAGTGTTTTGTTAGCAAACACCACAGAGGCATTTCCAAGGTACCTTGGGGTATCTGAGAACAAATTTATGCGGGTGTAGTTCAGTTTTACACTCTGGTAAAACTTGACTCCCAGCTTCCCAAATTCTTGAAGTGCCCTTAAAACCCAACTGGCACAGTCAAATGAATCAAACCACAACTTCCCATCTGTAATAAGAAATACATACTTATTATTCATATATGAAAATCATACACTTTTCATTTCAAAAATTCATTCAAATTTTCGACTATGTACTTAGATTAAAAAAAAAAAAAGCCCCCCCCCCCAAACTGATGGACTGTGCCTTCTATCTCGTAGATTCATAGAGATAAAGTGGTAGACCACTTCACTGAAGGAGTCCAATCTTACTGAAGTTTATACATATATTTTAAAAATACCCGGTTTGTCTCTGACTGTCCAAGTCTCATAATAAAGTCCAGTTGTGTTGTCCCACAAAACCCATTCTGCAAATTGGTTGAACACATCACCTGAAAATCATGCAAAACATGTGGCTATATGCACATTTATGTATATATGATTATTTCAAGAGGATTAAAATTAATTTTACAATAAAGCACTAAAATTGGACACAAGAGGGAATAACTAGTAAACTGAAATTTTTACCGTTAGTGTTAGCTATGAGCTTTAGTGTCCCATTCTCTTTCCACAGTTTGTCTTCAATGCCATCATAAATACATGTTGCTCCCTGATTACACCACAGCAGTGACTCATTGACAATGTGAGGAAATGTGCAGTTAAAGAGCTGAAACAACTCGTACCATTCCATTGTATAATTCAGGCCTGTGTTCAGATTACGTATCCCTAAAGCATCATGTATGATGTGCTGCAAACAATAAAGTAGTCTCCTATAAATTAATATCAACATGTTTCAGACATATAAATAAAGGAAGCCCACGAATATTGAATGAAATATGCCAAGGGTCCATTGGCAACATGTTCACTAGGGACAGCTGGCATGTTCAAAGACAATGAAGTATTAGTGATCAGAAATCACAATATTTTATTTACAATGAGCATCCAATTACATTATCTTAGTTTAATATAACGTTAGGAATATTTTACTCTATTTCCAATTGCATCATTTACAACAGACTCCATTTTTTTTTATACAAAAAGGCAGACCAGTAACTGTTTAAATCTTCCACAGAATAAAAACTCTTCAGAGAGCAGTGTTTGTTTAAAACTTCCTTACATGTAAGTTTTTAAAAAATGCTACAATATCAGATAGTAACCATTTTTAAGACATGCATTAATCTGTAAGAAATCTGAGTTATCCTTTCTAAAGTAGCAGTAATTTTTTACTCACAAATTTCCCAAGCGTATTTCCAAACTTGAACTGCCATACTGGTTTTTTCATTGCAAATAGCTGGACTTTGTCATCTGGCTTAAATTTGGGCATTGAATTTGGTAGCTGTCCTGTTGGACAAAATGGAATCACTCCTGCTTTGCAGTATGTATTGGATATTGGTCTGTATTTGAAACGCCTAAAACAGATGTATGCATATTCAGGTCAATTAATTCAGGAGAATTACAGTGATGTAGAAACTTAAGATTTTCCAGATACAGTGCAATTCAGTTAACACAGGCCTGGAACAAGGATCAACAATATAATGAAGTTCTGAAGAAAAAAGATCTAATTTAATTTTTTCCCCGTTTTGTTTGCAAGCCCCTTTATCTTGTTTTGATTTTCGGTCTTTTATTGCAGATAAGGCCAAAATAAAAAATAGTCTTGTTTCCTGCTACCCGACCTACCCTATTTTTTTGCACCCGACCCTAAAGTTTTTTTTGGCTTTTGGGGAAAAAATTCAAAATTTTAGGAATTTCATGTTTCAAAAGTGAAAAAAAAATTATACTCAAGTTGTATTACATGAAATATATTTATAGAATATGAACTTACATAAAATTCCACTTGAGTTGTGCATCAAAAGACATGGAATTTCATTTATTAAAAAGATAATATCTACCTGGCAATGACATGTTTAATTTGGTTTTGTAGTAGTTCATATCCAAAAAATACCGTTGGAAAAAAAAAAATAAAATTAAAAAATAAAATAATTCTCTTACCTACCTACCCTATTTTTTTCTGGCTGGTAGCAGGAAACAAGACTATTATTTTTTTTGGCCTAACTGTGATATTTTATTAGTGACACTGGAGACTGGATTTGATTAAACCTTGAATAACATATCACTGAAGAACATTTAAATGAAAATTAAAATGCAGTGAACTACATCATTAACCGTAATTGTCAGATCAAGTGTCCAGGTAATCAGGTTATGGCTTAAAAAAAAGAAACTTTTGAATTTTTTCTGTTAAAAAAAAAACATTAAGAAAAATTCCAACCCTAGCCCTGTCATTAATTATTAACACACCGATACGGAATTGGCCACTGTCCAAATGCAGTATGACATAAACTTGCAAATAAAGCAAGCAAGAAAAAGTTTATGATCACGGAAGCTGCCATGTTAGAGTCATGTGATGCCAATGCCAAGAACCACGTGACCAATCAACGTACGTGCTATCTAATATAAACAGGGACCCATAGGTCCCTGATTATAAATGATATGGTATTGAAAAATTGTGAATTCGTTGTTCATGTTATAAAGTAAAGTTTGTTTACTTATGTTCATTCATACTAAAACCAGAATATCAACATGTACTGTATTTTGAATTTAGAAGAATATGTAGGCATTAAAAATCAGAATAAAATACGTTCGCATTAACTAATAAAAAACTTGGAAGGTAGGAAATTCGAAATTCGAAATTTGCCACCACCAAAATTAATGTTTTTTTTAACTTACATTCCTCATCATTTGCAATTTAGCGTTGACAAGTTCGCCTCTTCAAAGCTAGCAGAATTAATGATTATACTTACTATATGAAATTAAAATGCAGAAATATCAATATGAGATGAAAGCTTTCTGAGCTGTGTGGGAACTGCCTATAGGCCATTAAACTGATAGAGGCGAGAGGTAGCAAGTCAGAACATACTTATTTTTATACTAACTTACTTTTCTATTTCAGAAAGAATGCTCAGCTATGGACAGTGCTTTGACTGCTGGAAAGGTAAAGACTAAAGCATGTGTTGTGTCAAAGAGCCATAGCTGCCTTACCGACGACAAAGCCGACATTTTTTTTATATGGTCACACTAATGATATAAAATACATGGTTACTTTAACATTAGTCTATGCAAAATTGATAATATACAAATATATTTTTTGGCCAAATTTTTGTCATATTCATCATCAGTGTGATATTTGGGCGAGGGTAAAAAATAGCGTGATAGGTAGCTATTAATACCTACGTAGAGTTTCTGGACCTGTCATAGAGGCCATAGCTGCCTTACCGACGACAAAGCCGACTCATATAAAATACATGGTTACTGTCTTGAAATATAAGCGATATTTGGGCGAGGGTAAAAAAACGTGATAGACCCGAGTTTCGACCCGAGCCCAAATATTTCAAGACAGTTATCATGTATTTTGTTTATCCTGCAACATATTTTTTACATTTGAACGTCCAAAACTAGCTATTTTCGACAGATTTAGGCACGTCTTTGCAGTTGAAACTATGATGCCATGGCATGAACATTGCAATATACGTGACGTCACAGTTCTTTTAGAACATTGGAATACATGCACGGGGCTTTATTAGGGCAGTGACCGGATAAAGCTTTGGTTTATTAGGTTACCTTTATTAGGTCAATGCAAGGGGTAGTTGCAGGATAAAAGTATTTAAAAGAAAATCACCTGTTTCTATTTATAGATACATTGTACCTTTTCAATTCACACTCAAGCAATCTTACCACCGCCAGTCATTGTCATTGTAATCGGAAGGACAAATTTAAGACAGATTATTGAATCTTTAAATAATATGGGAAGAAAAATTAAATATATATTTTGAACATGAAGACCACCTTTAACCAAAATTATCTAAATGAAATGAAGTGCAGTCATATCCAAATAAAATTATGTAGCCGGTTCTTGTAGCAATTAATATGAACAAGACGGTAATAGGGTTGGATTCGTTTATTCCATGGAGATAATGACGTTGAATTATAGATGAAATAAATTAAGTTGAATAAAGTTGAAATAGTTGAAATCAACCCTAAAATAACAATAACAACGTATAAACACATAGACAACATAAAGACAAGCACATTCACTTTACAACACAAAATGATTTCAATTTAAGCACATAAAACATTCATTTAGGCCATTACTTCACATTTATGCTAAACACATTCAAAGGGCAATAACTCTTTGAAACTCAAATTGACTATAGGTTATATTTCTTTTACAGTTATCATTTATCTATTTACAATACTTTAAAAAAAATATGAGTTTAAACATACCAGTGTATGGAACTGAGTGATCTATCACTTGATCAGGATTTTGAGTCAATAAATTACATGATGACTGACCTAATGAATTAACAAATCATAAAATCAGAATAATTCAGACTCAAATCTTAATTCCAAAGATCTACATGAATTAGATTAAAACATAACTTGCTTATACTTTACAATATCAGTCTTTACTTTAATAATTCAAAACTTTCACTCTATCACATTCATACTCGTTTAGCAAGTTTAAGTTTAATATACTTTATTCATTCATTATCTTTAATTTCAGTTTATGATCATTTATTTATAGTTTAAGAAAGGGTTTACTTACAGTTTATGGGTGTTTAATTTACTCCAAAAATATCAGGTTTGAAAATAGACAAAAACAAGTCTCTGACAACACCCTTCTCAAACAGTAGCTTTGAAAAGAATAAAAACAAAGGTTTCCTGCCTGAATGGACAAACACTGACGATTCAACACCAACTGACCAATAGAAAGGATGAATATAGACTACACCCTTATTTATAAATAGACTCTTCCATAAAACTTATCTTAACCCATAGTCTTTGGGTTAAACCATTATTTAATTAGGGATGTTTATGATTTTAAACAAAATATTAGTAATGGGCAGCGCTTGTGTAAATGTATGAATGAATGAATGAATGAAATTCCTGAAATAAAATAAATATAGCATTAATTAAAATAAAATAAAACTAAGTACAACTACCACAATTATTCAGAAGTTGTTTTTCTGGTTAAGGGTGGTCATTTGCTACAGTTTGTCATTGTTTAGGGGGATACCTCAGTATTTACTATACTCTCCATAAACTGAATGATTTTTATATCTATTATATGAGGAAATGATTAATATTTGAATATTATTTTTGTGTGATTTACTTTCAGGCATGTATAAACTAACATTGTATGACAAAAGTTTGGTTCATCAATGTGTTTAAAAATCACTACTAGAGTAGGCGAAAGTGACTATCAATTGCGCTATGGCTCTTTTCCGTGGAAATTTGTCCAAGCATACTTTATATAAATACGAGGGTTGTTCGAAAAGTTCGTGGACGATGTCTATCTTCGTTATATTACTCACTGGAAATTTAAAACAAGCACATTGTAATATATAAAAATATTTGTTATGTTGATGTGTGAAGTTTCATTCCATTCGATTTAACACAAATAAATTTACTCCATTTTAAAATCAACGTTTTGTACCCGCGGAGCACACAAAACGGCAATGTAACGTCAACACATAGCATCGAGAATTCATAATAGATACTATACCTTTACATTTCACACAGAATATTCCAATGCCCATTCATTCAATTCTTTTTCTAATACTTGACATTTATTTTTTAAGAATTGATCTCAGTGTATAATTTCCTTTGTTAAGGTTTTAATTTCTTTTAGTCCTAACTCTGCTTTCACAGAATAATAAACTCTGAAGCGCCTTTGTCTTTCATTTACGTTTCAAATTTTAAAGTTTTTTTTCAGATGTTTACAGTAAAACCGTTTCTTCACAGGTCATCCTCATCCGATACAGAGTCTCCGTCACTCAAATATTGCTTGTACTATTTGTACACACATGCACAACTCGCTTGTGACATATTTTCTGAATTCCTTCAACATTTTAAGAGTTTATTCAGGATTTTTTCTGAGAAAAACACAAAATTGCTTCGGTATCTGCTGCTCCGTGACGTTCTAAAACGTCATCATTTTTGTCGTCTTCAATAAGGACTACTTATCTTCTCAAGTTTATTTCTTTTCAACAAAGCAAAATATAAAACCATTATTTGGTACAAGTATCGATGTAACAATTCTTCATTTGAATTTCTAGGTAGTTTTTCGTTTTCCCTCCATGTTACAGAGAACATGACTATCGACATTACTTATTGTATTGTCTGTAACTGACTAAAATTTGACCTGCTCCGCGATCCTATTTTTGCATTTTTAAAATCTGGATAACTTTTTAATCAATCATAATATTTTGTCAAACTTAATACATATCATTTGGATTTATTGTCAAAATATTTTTACCAAATTTGGATAACATATGACGTCAAATAAAAAAGATATGACAGTTGTCCACGAACTTTTCGAACAACCCTCGTATAAGGCCTATAGTGACAGTCTAGGAAATCCGCGTAATTTTCTACAAGTGGATTAAACAGAAATTTAGATACCATGGAATTTTGACCCCGTGGAAAAAAGTACGTCTTCGGTAGTCCCTCATAAATCTTGCTTCTTTGTAAATTTTGAGCAGATTTTTTTTATTGAATGTTTTACTAAAAATTACAGTACATTGTTGAATTTAAATATGTTATAAAAATTGCATTTAAATAAATAGTTTTGAAGTAAGAGGTTCTGCGTGAACTTTTCTAAAAAGCTGACGAGTGACGTACCCTAATACCGGGTAAACATAAATGGTAAAGAAAATTCAAGGAACGAAAATATGCCAAACCGAAAAATGCAGAAATGCACAACATCCAGATTCGACTCTAGTTTTACTGTACATGTAGTTGTTGTTCCAGAAAACATGTTGCTATGGCCCCAAAAAATTAATCAATAGTTTCTCAGGCACCGCCGCATCAGTTAAAAAACGGCCGCATTGATCAATTTTATTGACATATTGAAAAGGGAAATAACCCAATTTTCTATTTTTCCAAGTTGAAAAAGAAAATCGAGTTATTGCCCTTTTCATAAATGCTAAGATAGACGTTTTTAGTAGAAAAACAATATTTTCTTCTAAATCTACAGTATTTTATAAGTTAACTTTAAAATAAATGTTTGGAATAACATTATTTAAAGTTGAATACATATTATAACTAATTTCAGAGAAAAAAACTTAAGAATTAGTAGATATTATCATTTTATTGAACAAATGATTTAAAAAAAAAAGAGTAGACTAAATCCTGCTTCAAAAAAAAAAAAAAAAAAAAAAAAAAGCCTGCCTGCCGCATTGAATTTTTATTTTTTTGGCCTGAGAAACAATTGATTAATTTTTTTTGGCCTATACACAGAAAGGATTTAGAGTTTTAATTATGAGCTATAAAAATTTCACTCTTGGCACCATTGGCTGTGTTAGCTAGATGTACTTCCATGTATTGTTTCAGCCATCTTGTATAAAACACTTATTATGGTTATCTACAGTCAAACTTTGTTATCTCAAACTTGATTGGACCAAGAAAAAAACTTCACTATATCAGAGGATTCAAGAAATCAATGTTAAAAGAAAAAGAGAGGATGGGACTTCCTGCTTATAATCATCATATCCAAGAAATTAGTGTTTGAAATACCAAGGTTCAACTGTATTAATTATGAAATGTCATTATTTTTCTAAAAAATATGCTAGAAAAACAAAATTTTACTTTCTTGAAATTTTTATGTATACTAAATCAATTATGTTTGGGCGGTAAGATGCCATTCTTTTCACTTTTTACAACATTTTTTATACTTACTGTAATTTTAATTTGAAAGATTGAACAAATAAATGAATAATTTCTGGACTTTATAATATGTACCTAAAGACCAATATTTAGGTCTCCGTATCACGATATGTATCACTCAACAAAAAATCGTGATATACCTATATACCGATAAAATAGCACATCCCTAGATTTCACAGTATTTTTACTTTCTTGTTTCCAGCTCATTGACATGAAATGGAAGCTAGGAGTAGCAGTCAGCAGTGATGAATGTAAATCATTGAATTCACCTTATGTTACCATGACACTCAAAGTTGCAGATCCATCAGGAAAAATATCAACCCACTCCAGGGAGATGACAGTACCACAGTTTCAGGTCTGTTGTGTAATGGAGATGATCCTTTCAAACTGACTTTTTGATCAGTGTGTTTCTGTTGATTTCAATAATATTTCATATAAAAATTAATTCAAAAACAGTAGAAAATACTGAAAATAAAACTCGGTATTCAAAGCAATGTCAGTTTTATAAAAACAATATGATTTACAATCATATGTATAATAATTAATGCTGGATTACTCAGTGATTATTATGCAGCATCATTTGTATTTTGTAGAATTTTTCACAGCAAATGAAGGAAATGGCCAATAAGATGGAAATGGTTTGAGAAAAAAAAGTATAGCGGTTAGCACTCAAGGAAATGAGGATAAGCTAGTTTCAGACCTTAAAAGACTGTGTTCAATCACTCTTATGAAACGGAAAGAAACAACACTCATTTGGAATACAAGCATTAATATAAAGGAACATTAATATAAATATTTCTTTTGAAGCAAAATATGTGCAAAACAAGTTGAATTAGCCGTACAAACTAACTAAAAGGATTTATTTACTACTAAAAACTTTTGTACATATTCTAAAGACATTCAGTTTCTTAGGCATTTTATAATGAATTCCTGACTGTACCACTGTTAGATCTGAGAATTATTGGTTTCATATTGAAATAATCGTAGATCTGAAAGTCATGTAGTGCATAATGCTTTTTGTCTACTTTACTTTTATGTTTTATTATTTATTAAATTAATTCATAAATCATGATTAACAATAATTTATTGATTTTGGAGAAGACACAAGGAATGTCACTGAGTTCTGTTCCATTAATGGTTCTTAAATTGACACATGATGTGTATCAAACAAAATATTATCTTACTTAATAAAGCATCTTTTGATTCATTTTCTTAGTGAAAATAACTACATGTAGTTTACATTATTTTAGTTTCAGGTAGCTTGTCATCCCCTGCTGTAAGTTTGTGTTCTGTTCATGCACTTATGTTGTTATTTTATAATTTATATGTTCTGTTTTACTAATTATTTCAGTGAATGATTAGTTAGCATGAATAGTGCATGTTAAAAAAACATGGACCAAGTTAAAATTTTGACAAACTTACTCTTTGATTATCTCCCTTAGTCCAGAAATCACTTGGATAAAAAAACCAGATTATAAATGCTGTATTCAGTACACAATAGGTGAGAAGGGGAAATATTGTCCCCTTTATGTGAAAAAGTTAATTTTCCTTATTTTTTCCTTATAGTTAATATGATGCTTAGAGTTAAAAGGATGGAAATTATTACTGTTGGCATATCTCCAATCTGTCCAGAAATAAAGACAAAAACTAGAGATATCAATCACACTTCCAAGTGATCAACTTCAGTGTGAAAGATTTAGTTACAATGTGTGCATCTTTAATCTTGATAAAGTTGCACAGTTTGTCAATAAATATGAATTTTTTCCTGATCATGTTTCTATTGGACAGAGATATTATCATACTAAAATTTCTTTTCATTTTTGCCTTATTGCATAATTTTTGTTCCACACAAGGTGGTTCTAGTTTCCTGTTGTTTTAGATATTTGTTTCCGAGGATTAATGTGTTAGAATTGACAAGGAAATCATACCCCTCAAAAAACAGGTGGTCATGTATTAAACTCAATTTTTAAAAATATAGATTTCAGATATTAAGAATAGTTGGGTACTAGTGACATTTTCAATTTTTATTTGGAAAGTTTTGTGCATAGTAATATTATCATTCACACAACCTTCTTCATTTTTTGTGTTCTTTGTTTCCCTTTATATACAATATGTGAATTTCACTAGTATTAGTCCTTGAAATGAGATTGTATGATGTTGATCTGCAAATATGCATAACTAGGTGAAAGACATTTATAAAATAAAGTTTTAAATGTATAAATGTTAGAATTGTCAAATTTGGTAATTATGCTAACCAGTATTGGAAAAAATTCTTGCATCAGTTGTTTTGCTGTTTATTAGTATTTGAAAAGAATTCATGTTCCAAAATTGGTTGGAAATCTTTTTTTTTTCCTTGAAGGCACTGGTCTCTTTAAGTGAAGGCACCAATCAATGAGTTTTGGGAGATACAATGAAATCTGTTCAAATTCCTTGAAATCTGTACCTTAGATTTTTTTTTTTAATTTTTAACAATACCAGTATAAGAAAATCAAAACTTCTTTAGAAAACCCAGATGAAGTGAATGTGGATGAAATGTTACAAAGCTGAAAAGATTGACACAGCAATTTCACTAACTTTGACAATTTTAATGTCTTTGAAGGTACTCCACCTTGTTAAAGTGTCTGTGTCTTAATTTGTCTCTCCTTGTATAATGTCATGTTTGTTGTAAACGACAAATGTTTACAGGGTGTTTGATTTCCGTAGCAGCTGCACCTGTGCGCAGAGGAAAGTGAGGATGAAACCTAATGCCATTGTGAGGCAGATGAAACTGACATGTGACAAAGATCTGTCAATCAAGCTTTAGCAAAGTTTTCCTGTTGAGGAGGCCTTCTCATGCAAACCAGTGTATGGTAATCCTTAAAAAAAATAAAATGAAATCAGAAGAATATGTGAATTGAAGTCATTTAGTTCTGAGAAATTTACTCAGAATGTTGTTTAGGTTTTTAGTGACATTAAATTTAATTCTGGTGAAATATTTAAACATGACCATATTAAAAAGACCTATTAAAAAGTCATATTTTTAAAAAAAAAAAGTTCATTATGAGAAAATCTGTAAAAATAAATGATGTTATTATCACATGATTAATTAAAATTGAATCCTATACAGTACATTTATTAGCCTTTCCCAATATCAAGCACCTGGGGAGCCTTTGTAAAGACCAATGAAATTAGATTCTTCATTCATGTGACTTTGTTCCTGCCAATCACAATGTCAGGATCGATTTGAAAATCAGCTTCATCTGTAAGATCTGCACTATTCAAATGTCACTCATCTTACAAACTTCTCAGTTAATGAGTACATGTCACTCATAGCAACAGTTATCAAGTCTCTCCTATTTTCATTGATGTGGACAGTTTTTATGCCTGTTCATTTCAATATTCTTAGATTAATTATTGATATACTTCACTTCAAAAATAGTGCTGTGAGTAAATTGATAATTTTTGGTTCTAGCTTTAGCTAATATAGAGAATCTATTTTGGTTATTTCCTAAATCAATTTTGTTCTGTTATCATCAGTTCTTTGAATGAAATATTGTTTATCAATTTTACAATTCATTGGTCAAAATACTTTGGGTCTATTAATTAATTCTTAATGTTTATCATACCATTGAACTTTCATCACACTATTAATGCATTCATTTTAGACAAGGGGAACAAAAATTTGTACAACTTGAAAGAGTTAAGCTAGAAATGGTTATCATTTTAACTTCATTTGCAGATTAAAACATATACAGATTAGGATAAGATTGAAGTTAACCTGTGACAGACTAGGTACAGACACTTGTTTTGGATTCCCCTCAGAGGGATGGGCAAGGGGTTCACCTGTAGCAGACAAGGAACAACTTCCATGTTCTGGATTCACCTGTGATAGAACTAGATATTATAAGTCCTCTTGTGTGACAGACCTTATACAGACTCTTGTTTTATTGGAGGGATAGGGTTTTTTGTTAATTTGCATCTGTGATTGACTGTATTCAGGGCATTTGTTAAGTGTGATGGGATATAGGTTCCTGTTAAATGCAAGGACTCACCTGTTGAAAAATTGGGTATAGGCACTTGTTTGGGGTTCACATATGATAGACTGGATATTCTTGTTCAGGTTCACCTGTGACAGACTGGGTACTCTTGTTTGTGTTCACCTGTGACAGACTGGGTATTCTTGTTTGGAGTTCACCTGTGACAGACTGGGTACTCTTGTTTGTGTTCACCTGTGACAGACTGGGTACTCTTGTTTGTGTTCACCTGTGACAGACTGGGTATTCTTGTTTGTGTTCACCTGTGACAGACTGGGTATTCTTGTTTGTGTTCACCTGTGACAGACTGGGTACTCTTGTTTGTGTTCACCTGTGACAGACTGGGTACTCTTGTTTGTGTTCACCTGTGACAGACTGGGTATTCTTGTTTAGGTTCACCTGTGACAGACTGGGTACTCTTGTTTGTGTTCACCTGTGACAGACTGGGTACTCTTGTTTGTGTTCACCTGTGACAGACTGGGTACTCTTGTTTGTGTTCACCTGTGATAGACTGGGTACTCTTGTTTGGAAGTTCACCTGTGATAGACTGGGTACTCTTGTTTGGAGGTTCACCTGTGACAGACTGGGTACTCTTGTTTGTGTTCACCTGTGACAGACTGGGTATTCATGTTTAGGGTTCACCTGTGACAGACTGGTTACTCTTGCTTGGAGGTTCACCTATGACAGACTGGGTACTCTTGTTTGTGTTCACCTGTGACCGACTGGGTACTCTTGTTTGTGTTCACCTGTGACAGACTGGGTACTCTTGTTTGTGTTCACCTGTGACAGACTGGGTACTCTTGTTTGTGTTCACCTGTGACAGACTGGGTACTCTTGTTTGTGTTCACCTGTGACAGACTGGGTACTCTTGTTTGTGTTCACCTGTGACAGACTGGGTACTCATGTTTAGGGTTCACCTGTGATAGACTGGGTACTCTTGTTTGTGTTCACCTGTGACAGACTGGGTACTCTTGTTTGTGTTCACCTGTGACAGACTGGGTACTCTTGTTTGTGTTCACCTGTGACAGACTGGGTACTCTTGTTTAGCTCTTCTGAGCCAAAGGCTAAAAGAGCTAATGCTATGGCCATTTGTGTGGTGTGCGTAAACTTTTTAGTGTTCACCTGTGACAGACTGGGTACTCTTGTTTGTGTTCACCTGTGACAGACTGGGTACTCTTGTGTGTGTTCACCTGTGACAGACTAGGTACTCTTATTTGTGTTCACCTGTGACAGACTGGGTACTCTTGTTTGTGTTCACCTGTGACAGACTGGGTACTCTTGTTTAGTGTTCACCTGTGACAGACTGGGTACTCATGTTAAGGGTCATCTGTGACAGATGGGTACTCATGTTTTGGATTCACCTGTGACAGAATGGGTAATATTATTTGGGGTTCACCTGTGACATATTGGGTCTGGCTAGGATGTTAACCTATTATAAATTTGTTGTATTCAGTTTATTTGGTTTTTCTTTTTTTCTTGGAGACCTGCAGAAACAAGATGTAAGAATCAACCTTTTCAACCTTTTAACTAAGGAAATTTCAATTATTAACCTAGAAAACTTTGCATATGCTTACATAGTACTGTGTGCCTGTTATAGTGCATTTAGATGGGGGTGTAATTTAATTCATGGAATTTTCTTTGTGCATTTCAGGGTGATGACAAATCAGTGTTAGAAATTTGATATCATATTGTCATCCTCAGCACTTCCTTCACTTTCTCTCGTACGTTCCTCATCCCCCACATATGACCCCCTCCCCCAACCCAAGGTGAATTGCTGCCACTGTACAGTTACATTATTGATATCATTACAACATAACAGAGGGTAACAAAGTCATTGGTCAATTACCTCTGGTTCAATACAATAAAAAAACCAGACTTAAAGTTCAAAATCTAAATTCATTTGATCAGAGAGCGAATGACAGGTCTTGCAATATTTCCTCATAAATTCGGGATGAAATTTGAGCTAATTCAATAAAGGTGTTTTATATGGTTTTCCTGCACCCGGTTTTCTATTGTGAAAGTTTACACATCTGCATGGGAAATTGAATTTCAAAATCGGGGTGTAAGGACCATATACCATAAAAATCGTCCATCCTTGTCCAGCCTTTTTTGCGGGTATAATTGATGAGATAATGAACTTCACCATTAATGATCATTCTTGTATTTGATGGCAGTAAATTGTCTGGTAATTTAAATATATTTACATCATATGGTGTGTGTGTTAAATGTTTTTAATTTTTCATGGAATAGAATATGATATATATGTAGATAATAGTACAAGAATTTGGTCGACAAAATTAGACACTGTGTTTGTATTTAACCCTGTTTTACACTTTCTCTTCATATTTAGCAAGTTTCTTTCAAGTTGTATCTCAGTCATTTGGTTGTTGTTGTCAACGGTGTCTGTTTCTGATATTTGAAGATTTATGATGGCCATAAAAGATAGAATTTAACCTTTGTCAGTTGAGGCATAAGGGTTTCATTGAACTGTCAGTAAAACTGGTCCGGTGACCTAATTTTGATATCTTGTTATATTAATGTGTTAGATTTGGTCAAATTTTGTCAATTTAGGCATTATGGGTTTTTGAAAACTTCTGCTAATAAGGAGGTCACTGTGACCTACTTTACAAATCTAGAAGATATTTAATTTTTGTTACTTCACACAAAACCCAATGCTAAGCACTTGGTTTAAGTACCATCACGTCTCTTCTAGCTGTCTTTCTCTGAAAGGGTTGTATTTTACAAACTATTTGAATCAGATTTATTAGGGCCCCGCTTTGTCAGTTAATGTATCTTGAGTCCACAAAAAATTTCAATCAAAAGGTAGGTCACTGTGACCTATCTCTTATGGTATTTTATAATTATATTCTCTCCTTGCCCTAACTGGCTATGCTTTATCAAACTAGTAAGTGCCTTTGAGTAACCGGTGTGTAGTGACCTTGAACCATGTTTCCAGGTCAAAGGTCAAGGTCATAGCAGACTTATATGAAAAATCCTCTTGTTTGTGTTCACCTGTGACAGACTTCTCTCTCCTTAGGGTTCCCTGTGAATCTGGCTCATGCTTCAGGTTCACAGAGTGCCTTTGGGTAACTTGTGTGCAGTTCACCTTGACAGATGTTTCTAGGTCAAAGGTCAAGGTCAAAGCAGAATTATATGTGTTCATCCTGTCCAGAGCAGATCTTCTCTCTCCTTGCCCCAATCTGTGTTCATGCTATGACCCACAGGGTGCCTTTTTGGTAACCTGTGCAGTGACCTTG